CATTATCGAGTCTAGAACAATTCAAACGCATCGCGCTCTATGTAAAGATGTAACTGGCAGCATATTAAAAACGGAGACCAAATGTATCAATGAGCAGCATTGTACTGTGATAATGGACCATTCAAGACACGTTGGGTCTGCAGTCATGCTTTGAAACCCAAACGTCTGAAACTGGTTATTTTTTGTTTCAAAAGTGGCATATTGGTTAAAAAAGTCCAGACGTTGATTTAACCAAGTATATTTTGAATCTGGAGACAACTACAGGACTTTGTAACTACCCACAATGCTCTGCAATACCACATGGATTTTTATTTTACAATGAGTATTGTGCTGGATATGCTTTTTCACATATAAACACATTCTACACAATAGTAGACGACTCACACATGAATGAGTGATAAGTTGGGGTTTAATGGGTGCAATGTCAGGAAAGAGAAACACTGATCATGGCGCTATTTTGTTAAAGGGGATTATGGTAAAACGTGCACACAGCCCGCGTTCTTTTTATTCTTTTTTTACGATCAGAGGAAACAAGAAGATGCTCGGTGTAGTCGGCACTTTGCTCCGTTCATCATTTCGTTTTTTTAATGCTTTGCTTTATGTAACCCCCCCCCCCCCTTTAAATGAAAGACCCAACAAAATATATTTTTCCCTCCTTTCCCCTTCCCTCTCTCTCTACCCCCCTCTCTGCCCCCCCCTCTCTCTCTCTACCCCCCTCTCTGCCTCTCCTCTCCCTCTACCCCCCTTTCCGCCCCCCCTCTCTCTCTGCCCCCTCTCTTCCTACTCCATTTGGCTCTCTCGCTCTCTTTTTTCTTTATAACTACGACAAGTGCTGCATCTGCACGCAGCCCTTCCCACAGTCAAACGGCCTCCGACGGGTAGCTTAGATCTGCATGCAGAGCTCTCCATCATCTGCCACCGAGCACACGGCCTCCTCCAGTGCCCACTGCTCCTTGAAGGCCGGCACGGCGTGGGTCAGCCGCGCATGGCGGAACTCCAGCTACACCCTGGCTCCGACCAGAGCGCGGAAGATGCCCAGGCTGCTGGCTGGACGTTACCCCTCCAGGGCCACCTTCCTCGCCCTGTATATGGCGAGCTTGGCGTAGCCGAAGAGCACGTTGCCAGCCCCTGAATATGTTGGGGTCCGTCGCCTTTCGGGTATCCAAACAGCCCGGGTTCGCAAAGGTCTTGTTCCACTGGCTTGTGGAGGCGACCGACTCAGACAGACAGACTTTGAGAATTAACAAATAGTTTGTTAAAGTGACCGAAATATCAAAGCCCACGTAAGATAGACGGGGTTGTTTGATAAGTGGAGGTGAATGTTTAATGAACCCATGACTGAATGCAAGACTGTGTTGTTGGCGTTTAGACTTAGTTTGAATGAGCTTGCATTGTAGGAAGAAAATTGTGGGGGCCGAGAGAGGTGATCACGTGTGTGTGTGGTGGGATTGTAAACATAAAACATGATGTATGACATCTGAAGGGAGACACTTGTCAGTAGACATCGTAGAAGGCCTGGCCAACTGCAATTTTACTTAAAGCCTTGGGGCCCGGCAAGGGTTTCCTGGGTAAACAAGCAAAATTAGAATTGGGCTCCTACACGATTGTCACATATCTGCATACAGACTAAAATGAAGGTGCAATAGCTCACCTGGTATCGTCAATTAAAGACATCTCACTGTCCCCAGGTGATTTGCGCGTTAGTTTCGATGTAGTTTCTCTGTTCACCAAAGTTCCTGTGCCCGATACCATTGCAATATTTGAAGATTTGGTCCAACAAGGACTGAATGCTGATGTACCAGCCCTGGTGAGACACTGCCTCACCAATACATACTTCACTTGGAATTAAATATTCTTCAAACTGAAGGTACCCCAATGGGTATTCTCTTATCTCCGGTTATAGCCAATATTTTCGTGGAAAATTTTAGACGGATGCCATCCAGACATCCACTCTACGCCCGTCCTTGTAGAAGAGGTACGTGGATGACACGTTTGTCATCTAGCCACATGGCCAGATGACAACCACATCAATTCCATTCACCCAGCCATCAAATTCATCATGGAGGTTGAAAAGGATGGCATGCTACCATTGGATGTCTTCATCAAAAATAGACCAGATGGCTCAATGAGCCACTCTGTCTACAGGAAAGTAACCCACACTGACGCCTACCTAAAACCTGATTCCCACCACCATCCATCCCAGAAGAATCCCCTCATCAAACACTACACCATCGAGCTCAATGTATCTCCGACCATGAACACCTGACCAGTGAACTCAAACACGTACACCAGGCTCTCAAGGCGACTGGATATTCTGACTACACAATCCGCAAAGCCATCACCCCAACCGTGGGGAAGGAGCCATTTGAAGATCCAATCAAAACCATCACCTTACTTTACAAAATCTTGAACAAACACAAGATCCAGGTCCGATTTAACACAGTGCACAAAATTCGTGACCTGATCCCATCTGTGAAGGACAAGATCCCTGACATGCAATATCCCGGCGTCTACAAACTAAGCTGTATCTGCGGCAGCAGTTACATTGGGGAAACCAAACGTGTCGGACTGTGTTCATGAACACAAGGCAGAGCTGAAACACGGCAGGACCAATACTTCTGCCATGGCTGATCATTACTTTAATGTGGCTGGCTCACGTGAAATTGAGTTCTCTAAGACGTTGGTACTTTGCAAGCCGACTGGCTATCAACAAAGATTTGTTCACGAAGCCATCCATATGTAGCGAGTCCAATTGAGTAGCAGACGTTGATCCTTTTAGAGGCAACACATTTATTAGTAACACGTGACACAAGGGGTAACTGCCCCGTCACCAGATACAGCCTATGGTGGTGACCACCCAGCAAACAACTCCATACAGAGGAGTTACTGCTACGAAGGGTCGGATCCCTACTCGGATCCGCGACCACGTGTTTGCCTCGAAGACGTAGAGCTTCGAGCTTGAGATGTAGGGCTTCAGCTGGTGGACGTGGAGCTTCAGCTTGTAGAATGCAGGGACCCGCCTTATATCCCCCTACTGTCGGGGCCGCTCCGCCCTTGGCCCCGCCCACCTTCTGGAGCCTTCTAGCTCCCTCTCGAGAGCTCTCCCTGGACACGTGATCACCCCCTAGTCCCCCTACCTGGGGGCCTCTCTATGGACACTCGAGATCACGTGTCTGCAGGGTCAACCAGAGTGCCATGGCCCGGGGCAACCCTGCCCCTGGGCTGACAATCTCCCGCTCCCCCTCGTGGGAGCCCCCACCACACGCTATGCGTGGTGCCCGCGCTATCCAGCGCTCACTAAGCCCCGCTAGGGCTGGTACTACACCCGCCCACAGGGTGTATGCGATGACGGTGCATCGCGTGCCCTGGCCCTCTCAGCTCGGCACCATATAGTGACATCCCCGATGTCACTTCACATATATAGACAATTTCAACCGAGACGACGGTTTTAAACTCAGCAATCATTGGAAAGATGTTAACCACTTTGGGTCATGACTTGATTTGTGTTTTCTTGTCAACCTCCACCGTCAGCAGTGTGGATGGGTGTTGCGAGGTTCAATGACCCCCGCCCCCCCATCTCTACCCCCCTCCACCCCCGATCTCGGCCCCACCCCCTCTCCCCCCTTGTCTCTGCCCCCTTCCTCCCCCCCCATTGTCTGCTCCGACATTAACGCTGTTTGCGGGGCACAGCTCACCTCCACCCAACTCCCCTTGTTTCGATCCTGCATTAGCGCGCTGCTTCCGCAGCTCGTGTTACTGGCGCAGCTCTCTCCCCCGCTCACTCACTTTGGGACCCTTATGAGCAGCTACATTTGGAGGCTTGCCCCCTCTTTTCTCTACGCCTGATGAAGACCGCTTGTGTTGCGATCGAAACGTCGTGGGTTTTTTTGTTTGTATTTTCAATTAATTTTTAATTTAATAGTTTTCTATTTTTATTTTGTGGTTTTGATTTCATTTTATTTGTTTTCTACCTACGTGACTTTACCGAAAGAACCAAGAATTTGATTGAAGATATTCAGTTTGGTAATACATTTTAAAGCACACAAATTGTCATCGGTTTTTTTAAAGCAATTTTTATCTCAACAAAAACTACGTATTTCCCCAAGGCAATTAAAAAAAGAGACCAATAATTTTCAAAGCACGATGTCAATTGATATTGCTACGTTGATACCAACTGTGTGGTAAGCCAAAAAATATATCGAGGGGGTCGGAGTGGTGTTGCAGAGGTGAGCGCACTGTGCTATGAATCTCGAAACCCCCCTCCCCCCAAGTCCGATTCCATGCCACAGTGGCACGTAACATCTGAACAAGTCTTGCCCCCTTCCGACCAGCTCGAAAAATCTGTCATAGGATGCCTTACCTTTCATTTTCTCCAGGTCGTTATTGACACACGTGTTAAGTTACGTGAACTATGGCCAATCGGACATGGTGACGAATGGCCTTCATCCAGCAGTGGTCTAGCAAAGGGCACATACTGCATATATTCATAACTAAATGATTGCAAGCGTGGCTTTATAGTTGTGCCTTACCCAAATGGTACTCAAAGTAATTATCAAATATGGCCAGTCTTCATCCTGCAAAAAATATACTGGGTATCACATGCTTGCTCAGAGCTCTGGCAAAGTCAAAGGGAATTTGTGGCATAACGAAAGGAATTTGCCAACATTGCTCTGCGTCAGAATGTCCAATCAATTCGGTGCATCTAATTTTCTGAAAGTGCAGCCAAAAAGGAAATGTGTTGCCAGCCATATGATGAACGGTTCCTGTCCCAACTGGCAGCATTTGCATGCATGCCCTTAGTGACATACCCTTACTATAATTTACCAAACATATTGCAGCTTCTATCATTCCGAAAAAAGGTTCTCAGTGCACCCACTTCTATTCGTAAATATTTTCTTTTTTCTACAAAACCAACAGACCAAACGCAGGCACGATTGTAAAAAAATGCAAACAATGTCAAAAAAAGTGTGGGGGTGTAAGACAAAATAAAACACACACCGTTTAGTTCCCCAAAACGATTTACTGTACAGGACACTATTGTGAATTTAGCTGTACATGAACAACCACGTCAATGGCACTGCCCAGCACAATCCCAAGCCCACGGTGCTGACCTCGCCACTCTCCCTCCAAAAGGCTTCTTCAAGATGAGGCCCTGCTACCCCCGCCGCATACCACGAACTGGGCCTTGAGTGAGAAAGAGATGCTCGTGGCCAAGCGAGGAGCTTCCCAATCACTTTCGTGATATTAGCGCCACAGGGCACCTATTACACTGGTCGCAGAATAACGCAAATCACCACAGGTGTACAAACAAAACGTTTGTCGAGGAAGAGGTGGTGCATGTCGTGGAGCTGGATTCCACCGAGTATCAAACCAAGAGCAAAGAGACTGATATACATAAAGATTATTCTTATAAAGGCATTTAGACGATAAGGTACAAGGAAGGCCAATCACGCAGGCGACATGAACATATCAGCATTATTTTTGGCACCCACTTATACAGTATTTATTTTTTACGATTTACCATTCGCCACCAACCCATGAATTTATGACAATCTGTATCGGGCCCAAAACTCTCAAAAATGTCACAAGACCGAGAGATAAGGTGACGTGTTTTCTCATCGCAGCCGTACGCAAAGCGTACCAAGGCCTCCAGTGTATTCGGTCATCCCTTTTATCATGACATTCCCCCTGCATGCACTTCACCATCGTGGGGGGCTTTACTTGAGCACAGGGTTAAGGTGGAAGTGAAGCTCAGCCCTCTCACGACCTTCACATTCCCACCAGAGTCGGAATGAGAAATGCTCGGGAAAGAGCCCGGGCTTCGCCACCATGTCAGAATGCCGCACGCCCGTGCCGTGTGTGTGAAACGATGGGGACGATGAAATCAGCGCTGTCCAACCACACTTCACGGCAGAGGAACAGAAGCTGCCCAATTCAACTATTTAACTGCGCGGGAATTAAATAAACGCGTGCACACGCACAAATCCCTGTAATTGTGAATCTCATTATCGATTAACAAATCACGGAAAGAGAAGATATGCTCCAAGATGTTATGTTAATTCTCCACTCACACAAAATCTCATCCACTACACGTGCACGGCTTGCAGGCACCGTAGTAACAGCAGATTGATACATTTTTAGATTCTGCGCTCAAAATGCATGCAACTTTTGATGTCACAGTGCGTGCACTCTTGAAATTACCATCTGGCTCATTAAAGGTGTGCGGTATTTCATGTTTTCATTGCTAAGCATCGTCAGTGGCACAATGGTAGTTTTTTTACTTTTTTTTCAGGTGACAAGCACTCGCAAACAGATCAATTTGAAATTTTGCGCGAGATTTATAATTTCATGTTACATTTCTATTTTAGAGTTTCAGTGTGTTTACGTTAGCTGGACTACAATATAATTTTTAACGGGGGAAAAAATTCAACCAAAAACGGACCAGAAAATCAATAACTTTTTCCAACTCTGTTCAAAGAGCCTATTCACGCAGTTAGATTTAGTTTCACCTTTACTAATTTGAGCAGATTCGTCTGCCGCCTCCAGACAAATGAAATCAAGAGCACTGTGGTGGCCACCGCACCACCGATCGCGCGCCATGCGCACCGTTCTCTTAAACCCGCCACACCGCTACCAACCCAGTCGCCACGATGGAAGGCAGCAGCTGCTCCAAGACAGAGGGCCACAGCGTCCACCTCTCAGACCGGCTTGGGGTTCACAGCGATGTGCCGGCTTGACAGTCGCCATCGAGCGCCAGAGGTGAGGGGGCAATGGAAATTCTCCGAGGCATCATCTTTGCTTGATGATATGTGGTTCACTTTCCGAGTTACTTCAAAGACATGAGCTGTGCATCATGTAGTGTACATTTATGAACCCCATGACACAATTTTTTTTACTTTGATGTTTACATAATAGCTGTTATAGCATAAAAGAAACCCATTCGTTGGAGTAAAGAAAGTAACAGGGCAATGTGAAGCACAGACAAGTGGATAAGACGTAGTGAGACCCAACTAATGCCTCCAAATATCCCCCACAGTCCCGTCTGGCTGCACATCTCACTTGATATCACATTCACGCTCACCTTCAATCAACTCTGGGAACCAAACCTGCCGGTTAGACCCCCCACCCATCGTGTTAAATTATTTATTTTAAATTTTTTTATCTGCATCCATCACGCAAACTCCCGACAAGAGTCGCTCGTGCTCACTGGTGAAATGTGTTCGGCGCCGCTGTGCGTGCTGGGGGGGAGGGGGGCGTTGGGGGCCTCTACCCCCCGCCCCCAACCCACCCACCCCCTCCCCTCCGAGCTCCGGCCTTCACAGGTTCTGGCAGCACGGCAGGCGCGACGTCTTGCCGGCGTCGGGAGACTTGTCCGGGTACGTGAGCTTTACCTCGCTGCTGCGTGCCAGGTTTCCGCTTGAGCCACCGCCGTCCGGTATGTGGTGCTGTGAAACTGTGCGGTAGATTTCTGTGGGCGGTTGGGAGCAAAGGGGGGGGGGTGGGTGAGATAGTACTCAAAGTTAATATAACGTTTTAATAAGCAAACGGGTAAAAACATCAGCAAAGCACCTCCGATTAGCATGGTTGGCTATGTGCGGTGCGAAAGAATTTCAACATATATACAAGTACTATGACACACTGAAAACAGAGCCTTCCGTTGGATGTCGACATTAACCTATGGCTTATTTAAAATATATTTTCCAGCTAATAACTACACGTAAATAAACGCATATTTCAACTTCGTGTATTGCCAATATGACTTTTAAACCGTGCTATGCACAGCATTGCATAAAACAGCTACACCATCGGCAGCGAGTCGTCAGAGTAGTGCCAATATGAGTCCCATTAGTTTGAGGTCATGGTCAACGTGGGCATTTTAGATCTGCAATGCGCAGTATGTGCAGGCTACATATGCTGGACAATGGCGCCTACCCGAACGCTTACCTGTTAGGATGGTGATGAAAGCACTTTCCACATTCGTCGAGTCTAACGCAGACGTCTCAATGAAAGAGAGCCCATGGTTTTCTGTGGGCACAAATATAATGATCGCACGTGCAGCCATACGGACTGTAGGGGTTTAAGTGCTGTTACTGAGCACCTATTAAGTATGGCATTGCAAACAGGAGGGTGGGGAGTGTCTCCCCAGTGCTGACATACACGCTGAAATAGGTACTCATTTAATGTCGAGTCAACCTATGTACACGCAGGAGAGTCTCTGGTAACACTTGCCACTGATGTTATCCATACGTGCAGTGTGTGAACCATTGAGTGACTGGTTCACACACAATGAATGAAAAACAACTTAATTCTCTCAGACATCGCAGCATATAGTTCAAGTGGCAAGCATTGAAATCGGCTCCTGCACTGCAAGATTGACAAGACCACCGCACCCCACCTGCTGAACCAACCTTGGCCTCATGGTTTCAACTCAATTAGTTGACTCAACTAGTCCAAATAAACTAACCTAATGCTACAGAAGCTGGTAGGCGAAGCTCATGGCACAGTCCAGCGGGGCTTGATAAAACACAAAGGAATACTTTGGCACGGAGCATTGAGCGTCTACATGCCGAAAGCAATGCTTCTGGGCAAGCATAGTTCCCTGAGCACGCCCACAGGTGGAGCTGGGTGCAGAGGTGTGGGGGCAGCGGCACAGGGCGGTACGAGGCGGCACCTGCGAAGGCCTTGGCCTCATCGGTGGTGACGGCCCTCAGGTGCCGCAGGTCGCTTTTGTTGCCCACGAGCATGATGACGATGTTGCTGTCGGCGTGGTCGCGCAGCTCCTTGAGCCAGCGCTCCACATTCTCGTACGTCAGGTGCTTTGCGATGTCGTACACCAGCAGTGCGCCGTACGCACCACGGTAGTACCTGACAGCGGGCAAGGGGGACAAATGGGAATTAACCGATGTAGGATTTGTCGTCTGCAGGATTGCAAAGTACTCAGCGATCTGTACGAGTTTATAGAATTTTAGTGTACACACAGCCCTTTTGTCAAACCACTGCTAGATAAGAACCTTCCCATGCCGTGCGAGTTGTGCGGGTTGTTCAACCCTTTACCCTTCCGAGACGTCTACAAGTTGCAGGGTGGATGTCCCGTTCACCACTGAATCTCCGGCACGCGTCATTGGTTATCGCTAACTTTATTTAGAGGCATAGTGCCGCCGTTTTAAAATACATTTTATTCACCGCAAAGAACTGTAGCAACCTGACCACACTCTGATAGCTGGCACCAAACTGTGCCACACGCCCTCCCGCATGGCCTTTTACTTCCAACTCTGTATGTGCATGTCATCGGAATGGGAAATGGTTAATGATACCTGTCGGTCTGTATGGGTTGGAAGGACAGAGCAATGGATCTTGCTACACTGCCCTCTACTGCCCACCACATGGCCCCACAGTTATACGATAACATGTTTATATACGGTGGTCACACATCCCAACAAATATCCAAGTGCAATTCTGCACAGCTTTGGAGGATCTTATGAGATGGGTGGATTTCCAGGTGATTCGGTTATAGGGATTTTGTAACTACTATAATGTTAACATCACAGTTGCTCAGTAGCCCAGTGTTTAGAGTTGCGAGCTCAAGTACTGATTGGAGGTTGACTAGGTCTTTTATCACTTCAGGATCGTTAAATTAGGAGCCCTCTGTGGGAATTCAATGATGGTTGTCCTTCCAATTTACTTACACCACAGGAATGTGGAATTTTTACCACTGGCTCAAGGCCATAAACAGGAAATGAGTGCCTCTCCCCATGTTCAACAAAAAACTGCTTTTATTTTAAAAAATAAGCCCTTTCTTTAACGGGGAAGGGCATAACTGACTCTCAAGACCGTGACATGACACTAAAACACACTTCTTTTGCTCAGTGTTTGAATGCATTAGTTACGCGTTTGTGTTTCTCCTTTGACCAGCCGTGATGTTAAAATATAGGCACTGGGTGAAGCATCCTTAAGGCCGGGCGCACATGTGGCCAGTTTCACAGGACAACAAAAAGCCAAGGCAATTCTCTCCCGAGAGCATCGCCCTGTGATTGGCATCGGCGATGAACACGCACTCCACCGGCACGAGGGTTCATTTCCATTTTTTGTGCGAGCAATAATCGCGTGCAAAAAAAGACAATGAATCAAATATTCTTGGTTCTTTCGGAAAAGTCACATCGAAGGGAAACAATCCCTGCAGTCACGAAAGCTTTAAATTAAAAATTTTATCAAATAGTCCGTTTGCTGCACAGATCAATGTATCTCTATGGTATAAGTTCAGCCCTGCGCGTAAATTTTGTGTGCTCGATTGTAGCACACAGCGACTGATAGAAGCTTGCTGCTGGCATCTTATGATGGCTGCCACTCGACCAATCCACACTGGAACGGAGCGTGTGGTTTGAATATTCGTGCTTGCCGATCGGCTAATTAGTTACCAAAATTTAAGTGGATTCGATCATCTATTCCGTGACTAATAGTTTAACAACCCTACGCTCCTTGGGCAGCCAGTGCAGCCTGGGGTGTCAACAGTGTGAGCAGGTCTTCATCCAGCAGTGTGGAGAGACAATAGATTACAATGATGATGATAATTCGATTCTGAAAACGATTATTAAAAGCTTGACAATTTATGAAACTGCTTTTTGTGTTTAGTTTGTTGTCCTTCCCCCGCACCTCCGATTAGTATGGTTGGCTATATATGGTGCGAGAGAAGTTCAACATACACAAAACTATTCAAAACTATATATATAAAAAAACCTTTTTGTATTTTACAAAGGCCCACTGTGCTATACAGCTCTTTTTCAGAAGTGACCTGGCCACGCATGATAGCTCAACTCAGTGGCTTATCATGTGGAAATGTATAGCAGCCAAATACTCTAAACGCATATTTCTAACGATGGAGGGAAAAACCGGAAGACCTGGAGAAAAACCCACGTGCCCACGGAGAGAACGACATGCAAACTACAAATATACAGCAGGCGTCAGGGTCGGAATCGAACCCCCGACCTCCTGTACACCAGGCGAGGTAGTTAACATCTCGCCGCCGTGGCGCCCTACATACATAAAAGCCCGAACGCGCACCGGGCTTTGCTCTGCACTTCACGGGCTGGCACAGTAAGTTACCGCCACGACGCAGCAGCAGAGCACCACTCACGCGGAGGTGATGGCGCGGTAGCGCTCCTGTCCGGCCGTGTCCCAGATCTGCGCCTTGATGGTCTTGCCGTCCACCTGGATACTGCGCGTGGCGAACTCCACGCCAATGGTGCTCTTGCTCTCCAGGTTGAACTCGTTGCGCGTGAAGCGAGAAAGCAGGTTGCTTTTACCGACGCCCGAGTCTCCAATCAGCACCACTGCACGCGGGGACAACGTTGGTTAGGAACGGAACGTGGACAAGATGAGAACACGAGATGTTTCGGGATAAAAATAAAGGCCGCTTCAATCCCCGTGACTCATTCTCTACAACTGGGCAACAGGTTGAAGAAGTGTCGATGTCAATTGGATTGACATCGACACTTTTTGGCCGAGTTCCAAAAAAGTATATTCTCACGTGAGATTGAGTTTTTGTCTCCAACTCCGTCAATATTGCTGCCATGCTTTGAACCATTACTGAGATTTACATTGCTCTGGGAGGTGCTGTTGATAGCACAGTCGATATCGCACAATAACAATTTCAGATGAAGGTTCTGCTCATCGTGGCCATTCTCTGGAGAGTGACCGATTCCTTGAGGCGTGACCTTGCAACGACAAACACGAGGCGATGTTTACTGTAAACCTCGACAGTCATGTCCCACCGTAAGGAATGCGCCATCGTACTAATGCGAGTTTGGGCAGCCAAGGCCAGCCGAGGCTCCAAACACCCCAAATAGCAAAAAAACACGAAAGGCATGGCAACAGTACCCGCAGCTTGCTGATCAGGCTGCTCTTCAGTACATACCAAACAATGATAAACCGTGGTATTAAAACAAAGTATTCAGTGACACAACTTAGCCCTGATGCGATGAGCTTTCCAAACAATTCAACGAGTGGTCCGGGAATGAAAACGATGGGTGTCCGTGTGTTTCAAGCAGTTGGATCCGCAAGGGTTACTCTATCTCTCTCTTGAGAGAGATAGAGTAACGTTATGGCGGGGGGGGGGGTCATTCAAAAAATGTGCCGGCACCACCGATGTTTCGATGGTGCCAGTGTGCCGCGCAAGTTGTTGGATGATTCGCATCAACCGTGGCGAACACGCCAAGACGGCCTCCTCGGTAGGGTTTGAAAGTGTAATCGTTTACTTTGAAGAATTTCTCCCGGTAATTGGCACAAAACTTGCCAAACCTCAAAGGATCCGCAAATGATAATTGTGAACACAGATGGCCTGACCTAAAACAAACACGTGGCACAAACACAATGACTTGGTGTGTGTGTGTTACAGTTTCCCTTGAAGAACATTACAGTCGTAATTAGTCACTTGTAAAAAGAAGGCACGGCGCACACACACAGCAGTGGAGGACGACGGTGAAGTTGCTTGTTGAGTACTGCCCAACGACAAAATCGTCGGCGGAAACAGAGACCAAGCGTGTGCACGGGCACATTCGAACGTACTCGAGTGATTGAATATCGACTCCGTGCAAGTGAATTTGTAGTTCTCGTCGGCACGGTGCCGTTGATTGAATGAGCACGCGCCTCGCTCATCACACATGGCGGTCACGCAATCACACAAGTTAGGGAGGGCCCCCCTAGGGCCCAAATTGTAATGTGAAAACCCATCCCCTCCCCCCCTTTCCTGACCCATGTAATTGCGTAATCCGTTTGCGTTCGTGCCGTCACTTTTATGTAACCGGTTCTTCCCGGAGAACTTTTACAACAAAAACACCCCTGGCGCAATGTTTCTCTTTTATTTTAAAAAAAAACCACACACAGATCGGTTGGGCCGAAACTGGACGAGCAGGCTGGCGGAGCTTTAACATTGACCGTGAGGCTGGACTAAGGCTGGGGGGGCCGGAGTTTTTCGGTGCGCGGTTTAAAGACAATAGGAATCACATTGGAGCCACTCTGCCCCGGCACTCGAGCACCTATGGCCGGCCGACGTTCATCCAAATTCCTGACCACGTCGCACCCCAGCGACTCCCACCCACCCAACCACAAGCCCCTCCCCGAAGTAGGAGGCGGATTACGACCTGCAATTATTTTAAACTGGGTTTGTTACTCTTTGCAAGGGTGCTTTCGAGAATGCGGCACGGTAACTAAAATGCGCCGCCGTATGTGCCCAAACAATCACATTATTTATTGTTCTGCAAAAGTGGCAAAACTGGGCGAGTCTTGAGGTGGGTGCTATGGGTTAATTATGTGTATGGATGTTGGGGTTTGCTCATTAGTGAATGAGTTCGTAGGTTAAGTGCAGGTCAGTGTCGGTGGGTTAGTGAGAGATTATGTGGCAGTAAAGATGAATGAGAGAATGAGGGCAGTGTGGATGCTAGAATTGATGGAGTAGGGAAATTGTGTTTGTTCAGCCTTCATCAAAAGTATCATAAACAGCAATCTGCCCAACCCTCACTCACAATCCACACAAAGCCTTAACCCCTAAACCTCACACCTCAAGCCTAACCCATATGCCTGGCCACAAACCCACAACTCAAATCCCGAACCCAACAGTAACACTCACCTCTAATCCTTTCCTGTTACTTTTAACACTCACCACTAATCCTAAGCTTTAACATCAGCTTAACCATAACCCACACTTAACTTTCACCACTTACTCACATTCTTAACTCTTACCAGTTATCTTCACTCCCCCATCTCTAACCCTCACCACTGATCCCCAATCCCTCTCCTCAAACACTAATCGCATCTGTTTCCCACACTTATATCCCCTTAATCAATCTTTATTTATCAGTATCCTAATACAAGGCCTCACCACTCGTCACCCTTTAACCCCCCTCACCATCAACCCGTAATCTTCCCACTCAGATCTTATCCTCACCACGAATCCTGAACTACACGCCTCACCCATAGCCCCTTTCTCGTCACCCCAACGCCTCAAGTCATTCCTTCCCCGAAGGCTGTCACCACTCCTAACCCTCACTAGAGAAATGCCCTCCCCTTACCTACACACAGCCTTCACCCATCAACGCTGGCACTACCCTCACCGCTGTCTCTCACCTAACCATCACTCATCACCCCTAACAGAGCGCCTCTCTCGATGCCGCTATCGTAAACTCGAAGCACTCGCCCTGAACATCACCCCAACTCTCACGACTCACCCATAGCACCCCACTCTACCCATGTCCCACTTAGCCCTTCTCAGCCCCGATGTCTCCACTCACCATCGCCCTCGACCCCCCTCTCTGTACCCCCCTCCCCACCGCCCTTACCCTTGCCTCTGACGCCGCCTTGGCGCTCACTTCGCCCGCCACTCCTCTCCCCTCTACGCCCTCTCCCCTCACCACTCGCCCACCAACTAACACCGCCCTCGCCCCTACCCCTCTCGCTTCATCACTCACCCCCCGGCTCTACACCTTGGCGCTCACCTCTCCCCGCCCCTCCCTCACCCTCCTGCCGCCAACCTCTTCCCGGTCTCTCCCACTCGGGGCCGACACCGACCCCCAACACCTCTGACTCACTGCCCGGCCTATGAAGCGCCCTCTTCCTTCTGCGCATCCCTATCCCTTTCTCTCACTCTCCGCTCGCACTTCGCGTCGTCCCAACGTCGCCCCCGCGGCGCCGTGCAGGCCGGCGACGACGCACCTTTGAAGAGGTAGTCGTACTCCTCGCCCTGCCCGCCCATGGTGCGCGCCGAGCCGCAGCGAGACGAGCCGACTCTCGGGGCGGAGGAGTCGCGGCGGTGACGTCACGCGAGAGGACGCCGGCGACGTCACGTCCGCTTCTTCTGCCCTCCACCGCCGGCTTTTTCTTCCCCCGCCCCCGCCACCACCGCCCGCCCGCCCGCCCGCCCGCCCGCGTGCCCCTCGTGCCCCGCCCCGCCCTTCTGCCCCGCCACCCCCCGTACAGCCCCGCCCCCTGCCCACCTTTCGCCCCGCCCCCTGTGCCCTCACGCGCTCAGTGACACATTGAACGTTACCCACCTGACGTCACATTCGGCCGCTGAACACGAAGCGACGGTAATGTCAGATTAAAGGTTATCCCCCTATGCCAGATCAGAGGTAATCCCACTGATGCCAAATCAGAGGTTCTCCCACGGATGTCAGATCAGAGGTTCTCCCACTGATGCCAGATCAGGGGTTCTACCTCCATGCCAGATCAGAGGTTATCCTCCAGATGCCAGATCAAGGTTCTCTGCCGATGCCAGAGCAGACGTTCTCCCACTGATGCCAAATCAGAGGTTCTTCCTCTATGCCAGATCAGAGGCTCTCCCACTGATGCCAGATCAAATCAGCGGTTCTACCCCCATGCCAGATCAGATGCTCTCCCCTGATGCCAGATCAGAGATTATCCCACTGAATCACTGATTCCATTTCAGAGGCTCTCCCACTGATGCCAGATCAGAGGTTTTCTCACTGATGCCAGATCAAATCAGCGGTTTTCCCCATATGCCAGATCAGATGTTCTCCCCCGATGCCAGATCAGAGGTTATCCCACTGATGCCAGATCCGAAGTAATCCCACTGATGCCAGATCAAAGGTTCACCCCCCCCCCCATGCCAGATCAGAGGTTTTCCCACTGATGCCAGATCAGAGGTTCTCCCACTGATGCCAGATCGGGGTAATCCCACTGATGCCAGATCAAATCAGCGGTTCTCCCCCGATGCCAGATCAGAGGTTATCCCACTGATGTCAGATCAGAAGTTATCCCATTGATGACAGATCAAATCAGCGGTTCTCCCCCAATGCCAGATCAGAGGTTATCCCACTGATGACAGATCAGAAGTTATCCCACTGATGCCAGATCAGAGGTTCACCCCACCCCCCACGACAGATCAGAGGTTCTCCCACTGATGCCAGATCGGAGGTTACCCAACGATGCCATGTCAGAGGTTCTCCCCTGGATGCCAGATCGGAGGTTCTCCCACTGATGCCAGATCAGAAGTTATCCCACTGATGCCAGATCAGAGGTTCACCCCACCCTCCATGACAGATCAGAGGTTATCCCACTGATGCCAGATCGGAGGTTACCCACTGATGCCAGATCAGAGGTTCTCCTCTGGATGCCAGATCGGAAGTTCTCCCATTGATGCAAGTTCAGAGGTAATCCCACTGACGCCAGATCAGAAGTTATCCCACTGATGCCAGATCAGAGGTTCACCCCCATGCCACATCAGCGGTTCTCTCACTCATGCCAGATTAGAGGTTATCCCACTGATGCCAGATCGGAGGTTATCCCTCTGATCCTAGATCAGGGGTTCTCCTCTGGATGCCAGATCGGAGGTTCTGCCACTGATGCCAGATCAAATCAGCGGTTCTCCCCCAATGCCAGATTAGATGTTCTCCCACTGATGCCAGATCAGAGGTTATCTCACTGATGCCAGATTAGAGGTTCTCCCACTGATGCCAGATCAGAGGTTATCCCACTGATGCCAGATCAGTCGTTTTCCCACTGATGCCAGATCAGAGGTTTTCCCAATGATGCCAGATCAGAGGTTCTCCCACTGATGCTAGATCAGAGGTTCTCCCACTGATGCCAGATCACCCGTTTTCCCACTGATACCACATCAGAGATTCGCCTACTCACGCCAGATCAGAGGTTCTGCCCCCATGCCAGATCCGAGGTTTTCCCACTGATACCAGATCAGAGGTTCTCCCACAGATGCCAGATCAGCGGTTCTCCCACTGACGCCAGATCAGAGATTATCCCCCTATGCCAGATCAGAGGTCTTCCACTGATACCAAATCAGCGGTTCTCTCACTGATGCCAGATCAAAGGTTTTCGCACTTATGCCAGATAAGAGGTTCTTCTCCCCCCACCCATGCCAAAACAGAGGTTCTCTCACTGATGCCAGATCAGAGGTTATCCCACTGATGCCAGATCAGAAGTTATCCCACTGATGCCAGATCAGAGGTTCACCCCCCCTCCCCCTCATGACAGATCAGAGATTATCCCACTGATGCCAGATCGGAGGTTAACCATTGATGCCAGATCAGAGGTTCTCCCCTGGATGCCAGATCGGAGTTTCTTGAACTGATGCCAGATCAGAGGTTATCCCACTGATGCAAGATCAGAGGTAATCCCACTGACGCCTTTTGGCGTCCTCTGATCTAACACTGTTTGAGACTAGGCTCTAAAGAAAGCTGTTTCTGGTGTGGACCAATCAGTTTCAAAGACAATGCATATACTGTCAGAGCATGTTTTTTTGTTTGCATGTTCACCACAAGTATATGTGGTTAATGCACACATTATTCCTTGCAAAGGTGTTGGTTTGGTGTTTTAACATCTTAACACCTATAATAATATAGTTTTCCCCATTTTTTCTGGCAACAAAACTAAACCTTTTTATAAGGATTCATGTCTGCATTAACCACAATACTTGCAGTCAAATGCAAACAAAAAAACACACTATGATAATGTATGCATTGTCCTTGAAACTGATTGGCCCACTTCTAGATTTGAAGCTTTGGTGACTGCAAGGATACATACTCTTTGGTTCTATTCGGTAAAGTCAGGTAGGTAAAAAAATAAAACAACAAAAATCACGACGTTTCGGCCATAACACAAGCGGCCTTCATCAGGTGAAGGGACCAGACTGTCTCGAGGACAGCGCTGGAGTGAACACAGCTAAGCTCAGACCGCGACCTTTAAGCTGTGTGAGAGGAATCAAGGTGCCTTGACAAAGGAATTAGCATAAAAAATTAGCATTTAATTGGCGGACTTAGCATGATGAACAGTGTAGAGGGGGTGCACATGTTAATTGGCGGACTTAGCATGATGAACGGTGTAGAGGGGGTGAACATTGCAGTCAAATGCAATATTGCAAGTATTGTGGTTAATGCAGACATAATTCCTTGTAAAAAGGTTTCAGTTTTGTTGCCATAAAAAAATGGGGAAAACCCTATTATATTTTGGTACTGGCAAAGGAGGTCTAATGATGATCTTAACACCTGTTTTATTGCCAGAACGGGGAACATCCTATTATCATAATTTGTTACTGGCAAAGGAGGTCTCATGATGTAATTACTGAGCTATTAGTTTTTTCAGAAGCGACAATGACCACAAATAATCGCCCAAGAAAGTGGCTTATAACGAGGCAATTTATAGCAGCCAAATCTTTCTCTCATACGTCCGCTTCATTGGATCGGTTGCTTGCTCTCTGTTACCTTGCAAGAGACGATCATGTGGCCACCGAGGTTAACGGTTCGAATTCAGCCACCGCCCAGGTCAACAATGCTCGGGTTGTGTGAACTGCACTTTACAGGGCCGTTAGCGATCTCGTGACGTCATTCGCAAGAGTGCATACCAGAATCAGAATCTGATGAGCCATGAAGCTCATTTTCACATATGTCTTGTAGGAGCCGGGTCGGTGTGACGGTCCAAATTGATCATATTCAAAACATTTACCGGTAAATCACTCGATTGGAATCTACATCAAAACCACAAAAAGCTTGGCAGGACCCTAATGAAGATCAGTCGTGAGACTCTGCGTCAACGATCGCAATTCATCAAATGTTAAAAAGGCTGTCACTGGAAACGTAATCGGACATTTGTGGCACAGACTGCGGTCTGTTCATTTGTGGTGCAGACTGCCTGTCTCTTCATGTCAAGTTGGGGTGAGATGTTAACTACCTGGTCTACAGGATGTCATGGGTTCGATCCCGACCTCTGCTGTATACAGCATTTGGAGTTTGCGTGCCTCTCTCCTCGTGGTCGCATGGATTTTTCTCCGGGTCATCCAGTTTTCCCTCCCCATTTATAGCTACTGCTATAAATGATAAACCACTTTGTTTAGCAATCATTTGTGATAGCCATGACGCTTCTGAATAAGAGCTATATCGGTCATTGGGCCTCACATGGTAAAATAAAAAAATGTTTATATTTTTTTACTTTGCATGATAATTATTCAAGGGACACACAATATGCGTCCACCCCGTTGTCAAAAATGTACCAAATAACAGAATAGATGATCGGACAAATCGCCTCCTCCTTCACAGCCTCCACACAGCTGTCCCTTCTACATAAATGGTTCAGCTGATAGGATGCGTAAAATATTTTTGTACGTGGCCAGACGTTACGTGGAGTGTGTAGTCTGCTTATTATTACCACGTGAATTTACTGGCGGTATTTGCTGTTTGATGTTCAGGCGCTAGGTGGTGCCATTGTGCAATTAAACAGTCGACCAGAATTGCAACGTCGGTATCCGTCTCTCCATTTGAACAGGAAAATAATATCTTGCACAACCCGTCGGCTCCATAATTTCCAGCAGTATTACTTGAGTACAAACTAAATTCTGGAGCAGTTTCGACACGCGGTATTCAGGCTTGCTTGAATCGATGCTGTGTGAACTGCCAGCTGTGACAGCAGTAACCCTGGGGTTAAAGTTCGACACATAACGCAAACTAATCATTGGCGTGGACATGGAAAATATGAATATCAAAATAGACAAGCGATGTCTCCTGCACGAGACAATGTTTTCACAAGACATCGTGTCCAGGTCTAAATTTAATTCTGTAATGGATTATGGATACAATTTTATGCAGTAAAATTTTTGACGTGAGTCATAGTTGCATATTAATATGTACAGGCCTTTGTCAATCCACTGCTGGATGATTGCCTCACTACGCTGTATCACTCGTGGTGAATTTTTGAAACATACTTCTTCACCATGCTGGTTCATATCTCACTCCTGATGCTAGCTGTGGCCGAGATTCGAACTCAGGTCGCTGGGTTCACAGTGCGCCGCGCTGATCAGTGCCTCATCGTGCCCCTCGGATAGAACATCATCTG